GGCACAATGGCTGTAACAATGGGACTGAGTTCAATTCCAGACCCAAAGGGTGACTAGGGGCCATGGTCTCAGGGGTTTTCTTATCTTTATCAGACAAATAAGCCTGGTCATTTTTTTTTTTTTTTAAGTTTTTTTTGTGATTTGGGTGAAAGTTTACAGAGCAAATTCATTTTTCCATACAGCAGTTCACATACACTTTGCCTCATGACATTGACTGCAGTTTCCCACAATGCAACAGCTCTCTTCCTGCTTCTTCCCCACAGTTACCTCCTTCCCTGTGTCCTTTCCTCCAAGCACTCCCATCCCTCAAGCTGTCTCCCTGTGCATACACAGCCCTTCTATTCTCCCATGATTGATCTCTCCAAGGAGTGTATCTACCTAATGTAAATGTTTAGTTCATATGCCTGTCTTTTGTTTGGCTGGAAGCCACAGGAGTTCAGTTCCAGACCTGAAGGGCAGCTAGGGTCCATACTCTCAGGGGTTCCACCAGGCTCTATCCCCTGGTCCCCCCCCCCTTTTTTTTTAATGATTTTGAGTTAGCCTGGTCGTTTTTTATGGTTTTGAGTTTTGTTCCACAGTTTTCTTCCACAGATCTCCTATGCTGATCTCTTTCTGAGTAATTGTCAGAGGTTGTTGGGCACCATCTAGTTCTGGTCTCAGGGTCATGTAGGCTGAGGTATGCATGGTTCACTAGTCCCTTGGACTAATTGTTTCCATTCCATGTATCTTTGGTTTTCTTCGTTCTTCTTTGCTCCAGATGAGGAGAGACCAATTGTTGTATCTTAGATGGCCTCTTGCAAGCTTTTAAAACCCCACTCATTACTCACCAAAGTAGGATATAGAATAGTGTTTTGGGGTAGACAGCACATTTCTTCTTATCACTGAATAATACTCCATTGTATGAATAGACCACATTTTGTTTATCCATTTACTAACTGAGGACCATCATAGTTACTTCCAGTTTTGGACAATTGTGAATAAAGCTTTTATAAACATCTATTTTCAGGCTTTTACATGGATGTAAGTTTTCAACTCATTTTGATAAATACTGAGGAGCACAACTGCTGAATCATATGGTAAAACTATGTTTAGTTTTGTAAGAAACTGGTTCCAGACTATTATCCAAAGTGACTGAACCAGTTAGCATTCCCCCTAGTAATGAGTGAGAGTTTCTCTTGCCCCACATCCTCACCAGTATTTAGTGTTCTCAGTGTTTTTTTTTTTTGGATTTTAACTATTCTAAGAGGTGTGTGAAGAATTGATGCATTTGAATTATGATGTTGGTGAAGAATATTGAATATACCATGGACTGCCAGAAGAACAAACAAATCGTCTTGGAAAAAATATACCCAGAATGCTTCTGAGGAGTGAAGATGACAAGAATTCCTCTCATGTAGTTTGGACTCATTATCAGATGGGACCAGTCTCTGGAGAAGGACATCATGCCTGGTAAAGTAGAGGGTTAGTGAAAAAGAGGAAGACCCTCTGTGAAATGGATTGGCACAATGGCTGTAATAGTGCGCTCACATATAACAACGATTGTGAGGATGGTGCAGGACTGGGCAGTGTTTCATTCTGTTGTATATAGGGTCACTGTTAGTTGGAACCGACTCAATGGTACCTAACCACAGCAACAACAATAGGTGTGTAAGGAACCCTGTGGCATGGTGGTTAAGCAGCTTTGATACTTAATGTACAAAATAGCTTCAGAAAGAGCACCTGGAGCCTATACGACTAGGAGACCAGAAGAACTAGATGGTGCCCAGCTACCAATGTCAGCCACTTGGAAGGGGATCTATGTAAGAGATCCTGGATAGAGAGGGAGAACAATGTGGACAAAACTCAAAATCATTTGGAGAAAGAAAAAAGGGGAGGGGGACCAGGTTGTCTGGTCTGATAGAGCTTGGTGGAACCACTGAGACTATGGCCCCTAGCTGCCCATCAGGACTGGAATTGAACCCACACCTCTGGCTTCCAGCCAAGAAAAAGTCAGGCATATGAGTTGAACGTTTACCTGAGGTAGATACACTCCTTGGAGAGAACAATCATGGGCGAAAGAAGGGCTGCTTATGCATAGGGAGGCAGCTCAGGGGGCAGGAGGGCATGGAGGGATAGACACAGGGAAGAGATAATTATCGGGAGGCAGTGGGAGGGGAGCTGTTGCATTGTGGTAAATTGTGGTCAATGTCATGAGACAAAGTGTATGTGAACTGCTGTATGGAAAGTGAATTTGCTCTGTAAATCTTCACCCAAATCACAATAAAAATAAAAAAATTTTTTTTTTAAAAAAAGAAAGAGCACCTGGACCCAGAGGCCCAAAATCAAAAGACTTCAAAAATATAGCCTGAGATATTTCAGGGCAGTCAGCCTTGTGAGAAAAACAAAATCTGCCGGTTGTTGGTGTTTTCCAGAGATGAGAGACAAGGCTCACAGTCATAACTTAGGGGCTTCTCTTTGTCCTTTTCATGGGTTAAGGAGCCCTGATCCTTGGGAATGAAATGTGTATACATAATCATCTGCTTTAGCTCAGCCTATATTAATTCTGTTTGCCCACTGAAAGTGGGCAGACTTTTGGAGTATTCCGAAACTCTATCAGTTACCCACTTATGCCTCTTCTCTCTTCTCTTGGTTTGACTGAATTGGCTCTGCGTTGCTCTGGGCACAGGCCCACATTTTTGGGTAACGACTTGGCTGCTAACTGAAAGGTTGGTAGTTCTTTATGAGAGGAAGATGTAGTAGTCTACCTCAATAAAGATTTGTAGCCTTAGAAACCCTATGAAGCAGTTCTACTCTGTCCTATAGTGTCACTGTAATTCAGAATCAACTTGATGACAATGGGTTTGTTTTTTGTTTTGGTATTAAGTGTGTAGTGACATCTCATTGTTGTTGTAACTTTAACCAGAAGATCTGCGGTTTGAACCCACAAGGCACTACACAGCAGAAAGATGAGGCAAGGCAGTCTGCTTCCATAAAGATTTACAACCTTGGAAACTATGGGGCAGTTATGCTTTGTCCTAGATCAAGCCAGAAGGAATTAATATCTTAACAATATTGAATCTTCTTATCCATGAACATTTATTTAGATCCTGGATTTCTTTCATCAGAGTTTGGTAGACACATTTGTGTTTTGAACTGTTTTAATAATTATATACCTGCTTCTTACTTATTGACTATTTCATATTCTAACACTTAGCATTTATAATACTCAACTCACTGCCATTGAGTCAGATCTGGCTCATAGCGACCCCTCCTTGGGTTTCCGAGGCAGTATCACTACAGAAGTAGATTGCCCAGTCTTCCTTCCAAGGAGTGGCTGGTGGGTTTGAACCACTAGCCTTCTGGTTAGCAGTCAAATGCCTTAGGCACTACGCCACCATAGCTTGACTATTTTAAGCATTAACAATGTATTGCTGGCAGTAATGAATGCCAAGGTAGAGGTGAGAGTAACACTGGCTGTGATTGTTAGTTATGTGTCAACTTGGCTGGGCCATGATTCTCAGTGGTTTGGAAGTTTTGTAATGATGTAATTTGACAGTAATGTAATGATGTAGTTATCCTATGTTTTGTGAGCTTATGTAGTCATCATCGATTTTCCCAAAATACCTATTTTTGAATAACAAGCTGGTCTTTGGAACTAACGATGTTGATGAATGAAGAGTGGGTGTATATCAATCTGGCTTCCTTTGTGAGCCTATATATAGGCAGTCCTGACTTACAGCATACTCTAGTTACACACTTAGGACTGTCCTTTTTTTTTTTTTGGTGTGTATTTTGTTGTTAGTAATATGTACGCATGTACTACATATGGTGTTGCAGCATGTAATTTACTGACGTTACCATTCTCATAGCAACCTCCGAAGAAAAATAAAGACCAGATTTATAAAGATACTAGTAATAGAAGGCAATAATCATGAAAATGAAAATTAAAAAAGAAGCAAAGCCTTCGACTTATGTCAGTACTGACTTATGACAGCTGTTGCAATGGAACCCCATCGTAAGTCGGGGACTACCTATATCTCGTTTTGTGCTTTTTAAAACATTTCTCTCAGAAAAGATCCTAAGCTTCACCAGACTACCAACAGGTTCATGGTCAGAAAAAAAAGAAAAAGGTAGAGATATGAATATTTTGCTCTAGATATCATTCAGTGAACAGTTTGTATTCTGGAAATGTGGAGGTGGGTGAGTGAATATAGTTTCTGGCATTGCTTTGTCAGTTCAACATTTGTTTTTTCCCAGAAGAACCAGCTTACCAAGTCCATATTACACATAGTGTGATTTTTGCATTTTAGGGTTGTCGAAAAGAATACCTGCTCCTAAACTGAACCAGAATATGCTGCCTACTGACTAATTCCTAAAATTAGATTATTGTAGTTTCCTGTCTCTGGTTTGATACTTAAGGAGAGGGAGCAATAAAAGAGACAGCCTCAATTTTTCATCTACAAAATGAGGAAAATATTAGCTTTTATGCAGAGCTGATGTAAGGATTACATAGGGCAATATATGTGCATCACTTAGCACAATGCTAACTCTTATATCTGATTAAGGAAATAGGGCCATCAATAAGTAGAGATTTGTATCTAGATCTCTCCTTTATCTGGTTAGGAGAGGTAAGAAGAGAAAAGATGCTAGAACTCAGAGGCAGGCCTATTCCTTCATAGACACTTGTCAGCTTTTAAGTTTAATGCATATCATACATGTTTGTGTTCATTCATTTTCTGATGAAAACTCTCAAAATTGTTAAAAGTGAAACAAAAAATACTTGTTCACTTCTGTCCTTTTATGAATTGTAACTGGGTAGTTCTCATTGACTTGAAGGAAATGAAATCTTTCCTCCGTAGATTTGTTAAAAGAAATACAACTCATTAATGATTTTCTGTTTTTGCTTTTTGTTTTAGGAAAAAAAAAAATTTCACCATCTGTGCAGTCTTCTTGAAGAAAACTAAGTCTAGAGGAATGATCATACATCAGTCTTGAAGATCAAGACTAAGCTGAAATTTAAAATGTTTTTCAGGGAAGAACAAAGCTTGACTTACACTTTTCTAATACTTTGTTTCCTGACACTAAGGCTGTCCACCAGTCAGAAGTGTTCCACCGAAAGTCTAGAAGATGTTGTCATTGACATCCAGTCATCTCTTTCTAAGGGAATCAGAGGCAATGAGCCTGTGCACACATTAACTCAAGAAGACTGCATTAATTCCTGCTGTTCAACAAAGAACATAGCAGGTAAATAATAGTCTTTTGACATCTGTTCATTCCCTTGTTGTGTGACATAAATAGCTGGTCAAGGTAGGTGAATAGTTCATGCGAGTTACAGGGTAGGTGGCAAAAGTCTGGTGGATATTTATCCATAGTGGGGTGAGTGGTGGATCAATGGTAGAATTCTCACCTTCCATGCAGGAGACCTAGGCTCAATTCCTGGCCAGTGCACCTTACGGGCAGCCACCACCTGCCTATCAGTGGAGGCTTGCTTGCTGCTGTGATGCTGAATGGTTTTCAGTGGAGCTTCCAGACTAAGACAGATTGGGAAGAAAGGCCTGGATCTGCTTCTGAAATCAGCCAGTGAAAACCCTATGGATCACAATGGTCCAGTCCACAGCTGATTATGGAGATGATGCAAGATCGAGTAGCATTTCACCCCATTGTACATGAGATTGCCATGACTTTGGGACCTACTTGATGACAGCTAACAACAGCACTAACAACTTATCCACAAATGTGCCCTCCATCCCCTAAGCTGAAAGTTACTGGTGAGTGTGTGGGTATGTATATTCCTCAGGTGACTGGGTAGAACAAAAGTTGAGAACCACTGGTGATGTGTTGTAGTAGGCATCTAGAATAGTGAAAATAATTCTATTTAAATCCCTAGATGCCATCATCATGGAGTATTGAATACAGTGTGATTTTACAAAGAATATTCATTAACAGGAAAATGCAGTTGAGATGAAAAATAAAATTCTAAATTCATAGGAAAATTAACATTTGATTTTTAAGTAGAAACACAAAACCTCTACTTCGTGTCCCTCTCTAGAGCTGGTGGCACAGGATGAAAGATGAAATCACTGGCCACTAGGTGTTGTAACTCTGAGGACTCTAAGGGGCATGGGAAGTCATGGAGTCTGACCTATTCACAGGACATAGCACGAAATCAAGGCTCAGAGGTTTGAAACAATGCCTTTGCATATTTCAGATGCCCTTGGTGGCATAAATTTTTACATGCTCAGCTACTAAAGGTTGGTGGTTCACGTCTACCCAGAGGTGCTTTGGGAGAAAACTGTCAATATATTTACAAAAGATCACAGCCATTACAAACCCTGTTGCATGGAGTCTACCCTGACACATGTGAAGTTACCATGAGTCAGAATTAACTTCAAGGCAACTGGTTTGGTTTGGTTTTGCACCTTATAGTCATGAAGTCTATGAGCTAAAAAGGAGGTATATATTTAAGTGAAACAAAGAATGGTTTTTAATTATGTTTGTGACCCTGTCCTAATTCTCAAAATGAAAAAGCTAATTTATTAAGTACCTAACAACTTGCTAGGAACTGGAGATACAGCACAGCAGTGGAGAAGATGATCAATGCCTTGCTGTCAAGGAGCACAGAGGAACTTAACCTTGGACTAGTGATACTCGCTTGACCTATTAGTCAACTAAATCAGATGTTTACTCTTAGATCTTTATTTATTTATTTATTTTTGCCTTTTATAATGGTCTTCTCAAATTGAGCAGTGTGCTTTGGGGCACTTTCATAGAAGTATTTATGGAAATTACAGAGATTTTATTTAAATTTTTACCTTTCCTTTAAATGTTGACATCAACATTTGAAATAGAAACACCATCTGCAAACAGAACTGAATACTATAAGCTTGAGTATTTCTTAGCAACATAGGAAATACTGCATTTTTCTTAGTTCCACATGGGCTTTTAGTGAATTAAAAATAAATAAATAAATAATTATGAGGCTTTGCTGCTTTATTCTACAAGCAAGAGTTCAATTACTGCTTTATTGTAAACAAAGGTACCTGTGGGTCTCTGTTAATAGATCTCTAGCTTTTTATTGAGCAATGATTTTTAACTGCTTAGAGTTCACGAAACACTTTGATAATTTGATTATAACCATAGACTCTAGAAAAAAAAAAAAACATCACCTTTACAGTCTTCTTGAAGCAAACTAAGACCAGAGGGATGATCATACATCAGTGTTGAAGATCAAGACTAAACTGAAATTTAAAATGTTTTTGATTGTAGCCAGAGACTCTAGAAAAAAATGTACATAAACACAAAAGACACATAATTTTGCATACAACTTGGGGAGCATATGAACCTACCCCTTTACCAAAGTGCCAAAAAAGAACAGTATTGCAGAATTTTCTCAGTGTTGAAAAGGAAAAGCTAGAACCTGAGAAGTAGAGAAATGACAAAATAAAACCCCTTCAGAGTTGCTATGAAGTCTTATTCCCCACGGGAAGGTAGAGTTGGGGGGCCGGGGTTGATCCCTGACGATTACGTAACTAGAACTGGTTGTGATGGCTGCCAGAGCACACATTTTTAATAATTAGCCTATATTTCCCCATACCCTTCAACTTCACCACGGAGGTAAGGAACCCTAATTTTAGCTCAAGTCTCATAGGCCTTGGAGTGAGACCTTTGTGCCAGATTGAGGCCAAACCCAATTCTAAGCCATAATGAGTAGAGAGAATAATTTCTACTGGTTGGTTGGAAGAGAGAAAAAGAGACAGAAATGAAAGTTAAGAGTTACAAGGAAGCAAAATAGAACAGCAGAAATGGTAGGAAGAGGGAAAATGGGAAGGAAGGATCAAAAGAATAGTCCTGATAAAAATGAAAAGATAAACTTTGTATTCCATACACTAAGATCCTTTATGGAATGAGGCATGATATGTATGATGATTGATTTACTGAACCCACCCAAGAAAGCCAGGCTTATGGCTTTATCAGAGGCTTTGAAGCCTTCAGGATACAAGAGAGAAATGAAATCATTAGGGTTAAATCCACTTCTTAAGTCCTATCTCAGTAAGTCATACAAAGGTTAAATAGTCATTATTTCTCTCTAAATTTTGATGGCTTTTTTTCTTTTTAAGCAAATAAAAGGCTTATTTCTAAAGAATTAAGTGTACTCTTAAAAATTAGTTTTGCTAAAGAGTACCTTCATTCAGATTTTAAAAGCTAATGTCTCTAAAAATTGTTTTAAGTGTTTAAATAAAGGAAAAGGAAATGATTCAGCAGTCGGCAAGCAAGTGAACAAAAGTATTTGTATTGGGCACCAGAAAAAATCAAGTTCTTCCTGCTTGCCAGACTCTGTAAAAATTACTATTTCAATAATGCACATGAAACCTCTCTTTGCAGGAGACAAAGCATGTAACTTGATGATCTTCGACACTCGAAAAACAGCTAGACTACCCAACTGCTACCTGTTTTTCTGTCCCAGTGAGGAAGCCTGTCCACTAAAACCAGCAAAGGGACTTAAGAGTTACAGGATAATTAGAGGTAATGAAAATGTTACTCTTTTTCTTTTGTGATTGGAAGTACTTCAGAGTAAGTTGATGTGAAAGATTTTCTACAAGTCTAAATAATGCTGTCAAAAGGGATCACAAATATAGAGGCTTGCCAGAAAATATCATGATTTAAAATTCAGTTTATTAAACCAATTTTTTTTTTCTAAATCATAGCCTATTTTTTTTGTGTGTGTTTTGATTTTGCTTTTACCTTCATTAGATAAAAACACACAGGCCTTTTATGAAAATTTTGAAACAGCTCTTTAGAACAACGTTGGCAACACTGGAATAAGAGTATAGGTCTCTAAGATGACTGTTTTGAAAGGGGTAGGACCCACATGAATATATAAAAACTCTAGTATGTTTTCTATTGGGTTACAATTATTTTATAATCATATTTGAAATCAGACTCTCTGGATTTTATTGTCTAGACCTGGCAGGACATGATATATATTCATCAGATACTTTTTTTTTATTGTGATTTGGGTGAAGATTTATAGAGCAAATTCACTTTCCATACAGCAGTTCACATATACTTTGTCTCATGTCATTGACCACAGTTTACCACAAAACAGTTCCCCTCCCACTTCCTCCCCATAGTTACCTCTTCCTAGTGTTCATCCTTCCATATACTCCTGCCCCCTGAGCTGTCTCCCTGTGCACAAGCAGCCCTTCTTTCTCCCATGATTGTTCTCTCCAAGGAGTGTATCTACTTGAGGTAAATACTCAACTCATATGCCTGTCTTTTGTTTGGCTGGAAACCACAGGTGTGGGTTCAATTCCAGACCTGAAGGGCACCTAGGGACCATAGTCTCAGTGGTTCCACCAGGCTCTATCAAACCAGCAAACCTGGTCCCCATCTTTTTGTTTTTTCTCCAAATGATTTTGAGTTTTGTTCCACATTGTTCTCCCTCTCTATCAAGGATCTCCTACATAGATCCCCTTCCAAGTGGATGACAGTGGTAGCCGGACACTCGAAGTTCTTCTGGTCTCATAGTCGTATAGGCTGCAGATTGGTTGGTGTACCAGTCGCTAGGGCTAATTGTTTCCATGAATTTTGGTTTTCTTCATTCTTCTTTGCTCTGGACGAGGAGAGACCCATCATTGCATCTAGATGGCAGCTTGCTAGCTTTTAAGATCCCAGTCGCTACTTGCCAAAGTAGGAGGTGGAACAATGTTTTGTATAGTATGTTATGCCAGTTGAGCTTGATGTCCCCTGCAACTATGGTCCCAAGCCCACAGGTTCAACTACTCGGTCGCTCTGGGTAGCTGGCTGTGACCAAGCAGTGACCACAACCTTGCCCGTTTCAGCTCTACTATACACCTGGGAATTCTGATCATTCACATAAACTTATAGGACCATTATTTGCCAACCCTATATATGTTCTTGAATAAACTCCCCATTTCACAGATATACCTAATCGTTTCACCTGTCCACCCACATCAGATACTTATTGATCATTTACCATGCACTAGATTCCGTGCTGGGCACTAAAAATAAAGTCTCCGTGTTCATGTGCTTATATGTCACAGCTGAAAAAAAAAAAAAATAGTATTTGGATATGTCTTGGTGAGATTTGGCATAAGGAGCTCTGGTGTCTTAAGTGTCTAAGTGTCTAAGGCACTTGACTGCTAATCAGAAGGCTTGCTGTTCAAACCCACCAGCCACTCCTCGGAAGGAAGATAGGGCAATCTACTTCTGTAGTGATACTGCCTCGCTATGAGTTGGGGCTGACTCGATGGTACATAACAACAACAACAACAAGTTTTCATAGAGCAGGATGAAATGCTTTCAGTATCAAATTTCCTTTTATGTTTTAGAAAGTGTTTTATCCTCTTAATTGGTAATAATATTATGCTTGTTCATTTATGCAATAGATAACAAATATTATTTAGTATCTACTATGTGCCTGTGGAAGGAGCCCGGGTGGTGTTCAGCTGCTAACTGAAAGGCCAGTGAGTCAAACCTAGTAATTGCTCCACAGGGAAAAAAGACCTGGCTATCTGCTTCCTTAAAGATTATAGCCTAGGAAACCCTATATGGCAGTTCTTCTATGTCCTTTAGAGTTGCTATGAGTTGAAATAGACTCAATGGCAATGAATTTGGTTTAGTTTGGTTTGGTTATGTGCCTATAAGGTTTACAATGATTTTTTTTTACTCAAAGAATTTGGTCTTTATACTTAGTTCCTGAGAGGTAACTTCAAAAACCTTGGAATTTACCTAGTGATCAGTGTCTTTGTTACCCATTTAGGGCCCAGACCACAGTTATTGTTATGGATTGAATTGTGTTACCCAAAAATATCTGCTGTTAATCCTAACATCAATGCCTGTGGTTATAATCCCATTTGGGAATGGGTTACCTTTGCTATATTAATGAGGCAGGATTAGTGTAGGATTTGTCTTGAGTCAATCTCATTTGAAATATAAAAAAGATTAAACAAGTGAGCAGAGGGAATATGGGGGAAAATTGATGCCAAGCCACAGGGAGATCTCAAGGAACCAGGAAACGGAAGCTGAAGAGACAAGGACCTTCTGCCAGAGCTGCCAGAGGAGAAGCCTTTCCCCAAGGCTGGCACTCTGAATTTGTCCTTGTAGCCTCCTAGAGTGAGAAAATCCATTTCTGTTTGTTAAAGCCATCCACTTTTGGTATTTCTGTTATAGCAGCATTAGATAACAGACAGAATTTGATATTGGAAGAGTGGGGTGCCTCCCCAACAGGTACCTAAAATGTGAAAGCAGTTTTAGAACTGAATAATGGGTAGAGACTGAAAAAGTTTTAAGGTACCTGATAGTGAAAACCTAGATTGCTTGAAAAGACTGTTGGTAGAATTATGGATGTCAAAGGCACTTCTGGCGAGGGTACAGAAGGAGTGAGGAGAGTTGTAGAGAAAGTCTCTATCGTCTTAGAGAATACATACAGTGCCAGCAACAGAACGTTGCTAGAAATGTGGACGTTAAATGTGCTTCTGGTGAAGCTTTAAAAGAAAATGATGAACATGTGATTGGACGATGGAAGAAGAGTGATGTTGTTTTTTATGTAGTGGCAAAGACTTGTCTGAATTATGTTCAAATATTTAGTGGAAGAAAGAACTTGTAAGTGATAAAATTAGGTATCTGGCTGGTGAGATTTCTAAGCAAGATCTTAAAGGGACCATGTGGTTTCTTCTTGCCACTTAGAGTAAAATGTGAGAGGAAAGAGATGGATTAAAAATGAAGTGTACAAAATGAAAATAAAGCTTAAAGAAAATTCTGTTGTACAAGCTAAGGACACATGTCCTAGAATGTTCACCAAGATGTGGCTACACAATCTTTTGTTAAAGAGGTTAAGCCTGTGACTGACGGATCTAACCAACTACCACAGCAGAAGACTCATTGGTTCAGACTGAAGGGGATAGAGAAAGAACAAAAGGAAAGAATTCTTGTCTGCCTCTTGGAATTCTACAGGCAGGAAACAGGCCAAAGGAGCTCCAATCCCTGGAGCAGCTTGAAGATCAGCAGAACTGTTGGAAGGAGCATGGGAAGCAGGGCCTACTGGGTTTCAAAGAGTGGGGCCACAGCCTCCTAGGTTTCATAGAGTCAGATCTTTGCCAACTCAGTTCTGAAGTTGGGGCTGCTCTTAAGATGTACCGGGCAGATGGGGCCACCATTAAAAGCTGAGAGGGCAAGGCTTCCCTGCCCAAGGGGCAGAAGAATGGGGTCTGCAAGGAGATGAGGTCACCATGTGGATGGACTAGGAGAATGAGGCTGCCTAAAGCCAAATGATGCATTTGAATTGTGTTGGTGAAGAATACTGAAAATACATGGACTGCCAGAAGAACAAATAAATCAGTCTTGAAGAAACTACAGCCAGCTGCTACTTAGAAGCAGGAATGGCCAGACTTTGTCTCGCATACATTGGTCATGTTGTCAGAAGGGACCAATCCCTGGAGAAACATACCATACTTGGTTAGCGAAGAAGGGGAAGACCCTCAGCGAGGTGGATTAACACAGTGGGTGCAGCAGTGAGCTCAAGCATAGCAAAGAGTGTAAGGATGGCACAGGATCGAGCAGTATTTCCGTCTGTTGTACATAGGGTTGCTATGAGTTGTAACCAACTCAACAGGACCTAACGACAAAACCAAGGGAGCAGAGTTGCCATCCCAGGCCTGGAAAGCAGAACTGAAGCTCAAGGCTGGGGGGCCTCTACCCAGAATCCAGAGGATGTGGCCAGCACCCAGAGTCTGGAGGGCAAGGCCATTGACCAACTGGTCTCAGAAAAGAGAGGATTATTGTTAAGCCTTGAGAGCGAATGTGATTTGTTCTGCTGGGTTTTGGATTTGCTTGGTGCCTGTTACCCCTTCTTTCTCTCCAGTGTCTCCCATTTGTAATGAAAATGCCTACCTTGTGCCTATTCTATCCTGTACTTTGGAAACAGATCACTTGTACTCAAGTTTCACAGATGAAGAGAAATTTTATCCCAGGATAGAATATGCTTAAAATCCTACCTGTATTTGATTTAGATGATTCATAAGAGGACTTCTTTTCAGAAGTTGGAGTTGATTTAATACTTTTGGGATGCTGTGATGGGGTTAATGTGTTTTGCATGTTGCAAAGACATGAATTTGGGTGAATTTGGCCAAAGGGTGGAATGGAGGCCAGAGGGTGGTATTTCTGTTATAGCAGCACTAGATAACTAAGAGGAGCTCTGGTGGCCTAGTGCCTAAGGCATTTGACTGCAATCCAGAAGGCTGGTGGTTCAAAACCAGGAGCCACTTCTCAGTAGGAAGATTGGACAATCCACTTCCATAGAGAGACCGCCTGGGAAACCCAAGGAAGGGTCACTGTGAATTGGGATCTACTCGATGGCAGTGAGTTTGGTTTTGGTTTAAGATAACTAAGACACCTACCTAACAGATTATGCTAATGAGGTGACTCTTAGGTTAGGGCTGGCCAGACCAGAAAAATGCACCATGTGATAACAACAGTATCATGGGTTGGGGAGATAGGAGGTT